ATTTGAGATATAAATTTCGGGTAGAAAGAGACCAAACTTAAATTAAATAACTGAACTTATTTATAATTATTATTATTATTTATTTATTAGGGGGTGAACTATTTCAAAAAATCTATGCTCTAAAGTATTCAACAATTTAAGTTGAAATATCATATATATATATATATATATATATATATATATATATATATATATATATATATATATATATATATATATATATTTATTTATTATTATTTTTTTTATATTACAATGGATTTAAATGTGTAAGTTCATACAGCATTTATTAATGTAATTTACAGTGGTTGTTAGGTGCTGGAAAACCATAAAAAATGCAACTTGAAAGTGCTTAAAAAGTGCTGAAATTTGAAGTTGAAATAGGTGTAAGAACCCTGTATATAGTTACTGTAGTAGCTTATAGTTAGTAGTTCTATTGGATTGCGACCCCTGGGGTAATTACATTATATTAAAGGCAGCAATAGCGTCAGATGCATTTTGATTTTATAACATCAGGTTATACTTTCTGGCACATTTTAAGCACTGACACAAATTTAATTGGTGTGTCTGCGTCATTGCATGCAAGGTTTCTGTATTTATAACCACCTCAGAGGATATTGGGGGTCGCGAGTCACTGGCATTGTTATTTTGGGGGTCGCGGGCTGAAAAGTTTGGGAACCCCTGTATTAGAGGACTTAAAAAGGTCTTAAAAGGTGTTAAATTTCCTGTTAAAAAATGTGCAGATACCCTGAAGAAGCATACGTTTTAAGATCTAAAACTCAAAAAATGATGTCTAAAGTACAATTTAGGATGATTTATTCTTTAATGTTTGCATAAAAATAGCTTTTTATGATCATGCATCTTCAAAGAAAATCCCTTTAAATCCTTCTGTGACACAAAACGAACTATAATATATTTAGCTTTCTCCTTTGTATACAGTTGAATACAAAATTATCAACAACAATTTCAGATGATAAACACTTTCTTTACATGAATATAGGTGTAATGTGGGATAAGACAGTAAAATACAGTGCATGTACAATTTTGAAGACACATTTATTTATTTTACACTAGCTGGAAGACACATTTTAAAGCTTTTTAATACAGGACACGAGGAAAAGAGTTTTCAGTCAATTTCAGGGATAATGGCAAGATTTATGTGAGGCTCAAGTAAAGAATATACCATTCCTGTATAGTACAAATCTGTACAGTTAACACAGGAATCAGAATATGAAATTCAGTAGTTTTTTTTTTTTTTTTTTACAAGTCACAGTATAGTTTGCTATGTGAATATATATATATATATACACTGCTGAAAAATCCAGCTTTAACCAGCCTAGGCTGGTTGGCTGGTTTTAGCTGGTCGACCAGGCTGGATTTAGAGGGGTTTTGGCCACTTCCAGGGTGGTTTCCAGTCATTTCCAGTCGATGGGAGATGGCCAGCTAAAACCAGCTTGACCAGCCTAGCCAAGCTGGGAGTCCAGCCAAAACCAGCTATATCCAGCTTAAACCAGGCTGGTCAAGCTGGTTTTAGCTGGATTTGGCTGGTCATTTTTCAGCCTGACCAGCTAAGACCAGGCTGTAAATGGCTGAAAACCAGCCTGGAAATGGCCAACACCCCTCTAAAACCAGGCTGGTCAACCAACTAAAACCAGCCAACCAGCCTAGGCTGGTTTAAGCTGGATTTTTCAGCAGGGTATATATATATATATATATATATATATATATATGAGCAATATCACATAAGTAGCAGTGCTATATGGCTGTATATCGGCACTGGTGGGAGGCGTGCGTCGGCACGAGGCTGCAGGCCAATATTGATATGCAATATCACACTGCTACGAGTGTGATATTGCGTTTATACAACAGTTTGATGGCATAATTGTGCATTAAAAACAAAATCAAACATGGTGAGTCTCAAAAACCCTTTTGTATGAGGAACTACTTTCTTTCACATTGGATTCAAATCATAAGCTGACAGTTAAACAGCTGAGCAAGCATCTTTTAAACTTTAGATCTGCAGTGTCTGATTTCTGCTGGCTTTATGTGGGCGGAGTAATACACAAAGGGTAAAGAGGCTGTAGGAGTTCTGATATTGCAGAATATCGCACGACTATCAGCCAATCAGATTTCAGAACCAGACAGAACTGTTGTGTATATATATATTTATATATATATTTATACAATAGATATTTATTACAATAGATCCTACATTATATATATATATATATATATATATATATATATATATATATATATATATATATATATATATATATATATATATAATGTAGGATCTATTGTTATGCACTGTACACAAGATGGCATCAAACTTTCCAGAATTTTTCTTCACATTCATGCAGTTATAAACATCTTAAGGACAGAAAGATCCACCAGAGCACAACATCAGTACGCACAGATCAGCTGTTGGCTTTTTCTGCTAATGCAGTAGACAACTTATGAGTTGTGTTTGAGTTTAAAGTGCAACATGCGTTTTAGGGAA